TAGGTAGGTAGGTAGGTAGGTAGGTAGGTAAGTAGGTAGGTAGGTGGGTAGGTAGGTAGGTAGGTATGCATGTGTGTGTATGTGTGTGTGAGTGTGTGTGTGTGTGTGTTTGTGGGTTGAGGGGGTGTGTGCGTGCGCTTTGGATAGAAAAAAGAGGAAGGGGTGGAGAGACAAAGAGACAAACAAACAAAATTGTGAGTGATGAACAACCAGCAGTTTCATGGGCCATAACACTAGATCTGTCCTTTCTCTGAAGCCGTCATACCTCAGAGGAAATTGAAAGAGCCGTGCGTTTCGGACAAATCTTCGAATAATGCATAATTCGCTGACTTTCTGTGAAGAATGGTTTAGATTTTAGTTAAGCTAAGAGATGTGGCCAATGCTTGGTTTACAGGAAACCCGAAGATGACGTAAAATGGCAGCATGGATGTCGAGGTTAGTTCATCATGTGTAAACTAGATGGAGGAGAAAGAATTTATGGTGATGCTGCTTTGTAATAATAATATATGGAGGAAGTACTAGTGAATTTTAAAAAGATATATATAGGCCTATATAGTATTATATGCACTCACACCAGTTTTCTCAAAGACCCACAGATACTCACACAAACAGATAAACTGTCAGACAGTCTCACATACCCCCCCCCCACACACACATACACATACATACACACGCGCGCGCGCGCGCACATCCCCTCCCACTCACACACGTTCGTACATATTCCCATGTTCCCTCATATCTATCAAGGCACATGGGCTCATTTGCTCCCTTTTCCGTGTAAACACTCGTACAAGTGACGTATAAGTGAAAACTTTACCTGCACGCAAAAGTCGTAGGCTTGATTCCCAGCAGGGAAAGATTTTATTTTACCGAGTATATCTGTCTTTCTTCGGGTTGACCTTAACGCAGACGATCTCTAAGCTACCTCCTAGATGATTTTTATTGTGTCGGTGCGACGTAAAACGTCATAGCACTCAAACCGGCATGCACAAAAAGCGTACACATGCCAACACAGCTTAGAAGCTTACAGTAATTTTACCAGCTTGCCCATCTTTTTTACGTTGGTCTCTTATCCCCTTTATTTCCCAACCCAAGGCGCCAGTCTTATGTTTTATTATAGACCTCTTGACCTCTTGAACCGCATCCAGTCTACCTCCCCATTTTTCTTTCGATGCCATCAGCTATCACCTTCGTTTGCCAGGCGCTGCCTCATCTCACCCTCCCCGTTTGTATCTGTATTCTTCATGCATTATGTGCGTCTTTTGCACAACGCCCACCCTTCTCTGCTGCTGGGTGTTTTAAAAATGTTATTTGCAATGTTACGCTATTATACCTCCCTGTTTTCCTGCCCCCTCTGTCTGTCTGTCTGTCTGTCTGTCTGTTTGTCTGTCTGTCTCTGTCTGCCTCTCTCTCTCTCTCTCTCT